TTCCACTCCTGTTAGAAATGAATCTTCGGTGAGTTTCTGTCCTTCCTAAAATATTACATAGAGGTGGGCCCTGGGAGTCCAAGGCCTGCCAGAGTTGTTGGTCCTGGCAGCTTTTGTCTAGGTTTTCCCTTTCTCTGCTGATCACAAATCTGAAGGTGTCTTGGCTCCATTTTCTTGTCTTTGAATAATAATAACAACAACAGTATGGTACTAGTATAAGAAATAATGATATGAAAACACAGGAAATTGAGGGCAGTTTTTTGAGAAGCAGCTGGAATTCCAGATCTCTAAAACTGGCACTAATTTGTCCAATTTTGCTTTTAACCTGTTGATCTTCAGGAGCATTTTCTTTTCATCAGAGAAAAACAAAATAACTCATGAAGTTGTTACTAAGCTGGCAGCAGGAGAGAATTCTGAAAAAGTTTGCTGGTTAAAGTGCATCTGAAGAAATTGTGCACTCAGGCAGGTAATTGAGGTATTTCTGTTGTGAATGGAAGTTCCTGAAGCTGGTAGCTGTGTGGAGGTCAACAAGTAGAATAATAAAAAAAGTAATGTATAACCCCATATTACATCTTAATCACACAATTTATTATGGCAAGATAACTCTAGAAAAAGAGACAGCCAATGTGAAATATTAATCCTGGATGGCATTTAGGAGGTCTTAATATGGATCCATGAATTTAAAGATTGATGTGGCTGGTGGCCCAGCAGTCTTTTAAGGTTTTTAGCCTTGTTAGTCTGGATTGGATCCTGATTTCTTAATCATGTAAGGCAAGGATAATTATTTCAGCTAAGTTACATCATGGTTTTTGTGATGTGGTTGCATACAAGATATTAATTAATTATATTCTAAAAGTTACAAAGGTCTTCAGTCCAAAATTTTTAGGGCTGAAAATGATCATTCATTAGTGGTGATGGAGAAGACACCTCCACTCTGCATCAGTTAACTTTTGGGACTTCCTGGTACTCTGCAGGAAAAAAAAGGCAAGTTTTGCCTCAATCCACAGCTGTTGAAAGGAGTTAGGTTCTCAACACACCCAAAAGCAAGATTAAAACACAAATGAGATTAAATGTTGGGATCCAAAACGATTATTCACCTCTATTTTCCTTCGTGAAGGAGGAAAGAGACAAAATAGGGAAGTAGAAAATGCCAAGGTAAATGCGTTATCACGCACTTAACTAGGCTAATGCCAACATTTAAAAATAGCAAATCCAGTGACAATTGCATTTCTAACTCATCCTAACCATTTTCTCTGTCCTGTAAGCCCTAAAGGCTTTAGCAGGGTAGTTGCCCGTGATCCAGGTTCTAATCCATCAAACCAGGCTCATGGTTGCATAGACTGAAATAATTCTCCAGCTTGATCGCTTCTTTTGTCTTAGCTTGTGCCTCCTCAGTGGAGGATAAGGCACTGTGGATGGCAACGTGACACTCAGTTCCAGATAAATTCAGCATGTTCCCAGCTATATTCCCTTTTCAGTTTAGACAATTCAGTAGCTGTATATGGGGTATCTTTTGTGGTAATTTGAGATGCTTCATCTTCCAAACCCTCATTCAGTTTTGACAAGAGGTTGTCATGGAATAAGTAATTTTATCAAGCTGGTTATGCAGGGATTCCAGCTCAGAGAGTGGGTATGTTGTTGTTCCTTTAGGCAGCCTTGGTTCTAATTAATCATCCCCTGCACTTGTTAATCTTTCTGAAAAATTGAGCCAAATCATAAAACTTGAAACAACAGCAAGAGAAGGAGCTGTGCATTTGCCCTTCACTTACATGGAGTTTAAACTGAGAACAGAGACGAGCCTGTGTTGCAACTCATCTTCCCTGATCCTATGGCAGGTTCTAGATGATCTTTGAGACCCCTTCCAACTCAGGCCAAAGTGGTTGATTTTCCATGTCAGCAGAGCTATTTGGAATGTGCAGGTGCCCAAGATCTCAATGGCATGGTCGCCAGAGGATAACAAATTCATCAGCTTGAGTATTATACACAGTTCTTTCTTTCTTAACAAGCAGGAGTTATGGCCAAAAGAACTTTTTCCTCTCAAAATCAGTTGTACTGTCTAATTTTAGCAGCAATATGTGAAAAACCCATCAGGTGTGGATCTACAACTGTGTTTTATTTATGCAACTGCAGCTTCTTTGGGACCTTGAACTGGGTAGAGGCAGCTGTAGAAATTGTGCAAATACAAAGTGAAATGGTGTTTCCTGTGACAACTCTCAAGTCTAGAGCAGCATTAATGCAATTCCCTCAAATGGGAAGCACTTTCATAGAGAATAAGCTCTAGCATGATTTGTTGCATGGTTTTGCTTTTTTGTAACTCAATATGGCCCAAATTTCAGCTTTCCAAAATCTCCAGAACGAAAGCAAGCCCACCACATTCCCAAGGAAACGAAGGAATTGCATAAAGCATGGTTACAGTATGGCTGTTGGAATGAATGCTTCCTGGAAACACTTGAAAAATAGTGATGAACAAACAATTGCAAAAGCATCAAAGGGATCTAAGACTAGGATTAAAACTTGATTTACCATGTTTATTTTTACTCCACGCATTTTGGTTTGGGTAGTATATTGTAGATGCATTTTGCACTTGGCAGGCTCCCTCGTTTTGAGGATTTTCTTGTTTTTCAAGGAAGAATAATAAGGTGAATTTCTCTAAGGCAGAGGATTTAATTGTCTCTCATGGCAGACCACACTTTACAGGAATGGAGAATCTATCATGGGAAGGCCAGACTAAGGAAAAAGCTTCCAAAGCTTACATAAGCTCCAGTGGTGATGCTGGGATGCCCACAGGAGCAAAAACCAGAAACGCTGCACAAACCCAAAGAGACTCAAATAATAGTCACCCTATATTTTTCATTGAGGAAAATTTTTACAGCAGTCACAGATTAGCTGCTTGGTTTGAAGAAGAAAGAACTAAAGAAGTTCCTTGGTATGAATGAAAGCAAGAAATAAAACTATCACAAGCATCCTTTGTGCCCACCCTCCCTCAGAAAGCCCAGTTTTACTTAATGTGTTGGTACCCCCCTAAATTCTATGGAAATACTAATAAATACTGTGGCTATTTTGCATGGTACAGCAGACCTTACAGGAATTAAATCCACATACAGATGTTTTAAATCAATAGCACTTAATTAGTTTAAATAGGTAGACACAGTCATAAATAGCCCTTCCCCAAAAAGTCTAGTTGATAAAGTTTGATTTAGCAGAAAAGGAATAAGAACAGCTGATAGCTGATAACTTCAGCTTAGGGACATTTAATTATACTCAAAAGTAGAGATTTTGCATTTTAAATTGAAGCCATTTAAGTGGCATCAGAGGTATGAAACAGTTGCAATTTCATCTTTAACCTGCATAGGAACAGTTTGGTTCCATTGCAAAACAGATAGAAAGGACTGATTTAATATACTCCAAACCTGCCACCACCTGGTACTCAAGGAAACTGCATTGCACTCAATGCAGGCAGACATCCCTCACAGTCTTGCCAGGAGTGGCTGGCAGAATTAAAACCTACTGATGCCATTAGAAAATGTCCCACCTGAAAAGCCAGAGGGTTCTTAAAACATTGGCAGGTAAGATATACCCTGTGCTGTATCTGAAGGGAGCCAACATGAAAGATGGAGAGGAAACTATTTATATTGAAAGGCCACAATAAGGTCTCCACAGAGCTTTCTCTTTCTTTCTGGGGGTGGAATGTGAGGGAGTAGTCAGAGACAATTGTAATATAAAGAGATGCTGGGGAGTGTCAAGTGAAGAGAACAACTGAAACAACAGAAAAATGTGGCAGTGCAAGGTAGCTTGTGAAGGCTGCACTGCAGAGCAGGGGCTGCAGGACAGCCCTGTACTGGACAATGCTGAGGCCACACCTCAAATCCTGTGTCCAGTTCTGGGACCTTCACTGCAAAATGGACATTGAGGGGCTGGAGCATGTCCAGAGAAGGGAACAGAGATGGAGAAGTCTGGCACACAAATCTGATGAGGAGGAGCTGGGGGGGCTCAGCCTGGAGAAAAGGAGGCTCAGGGGGAACCTTCTGGCTCTGCACAATTCCCTGACAGGAGGGGACAGCTGCGGGGGTTGGGCTCTGCTCCCAGGGAACAAAGGATAGAATGAGAGGAAACTGCCTCAAACTGCCAGGGAAGGTTCAGATTGGACATTAGGAAGAATTTCTTCACTGGAAGGGTGATTAGGTGCTGGAAAGGGCTGCCCAGGGAGGAGGTGGACAACTGAAGGTGTTTAAGGAAAGCCCGGTCTCTAGCGGGATGGGCTGCGGGCAGCAGAGCTCTGTAGGGACTTTCTCATGAGGGCAGCTTCTCCTCCAAGCTGTGACGGGGATGTGTCCCTTCTCCCAGAGACTCGGTCCCAGAAGGTTTTGGAGGAGCAGGGATGCTGCGGTGGAGCAGAGAGCCAAGGGTGGGACTTCCTTGAGTGACAGCTCTGCCCTCACCTACTTGGGGGAGAAACCTTTCCAGTGCTGCTGCTGTGGCTTCAGTCACAATTTCTCCTGATGTCTCACCAGAGGGGCACGGGTGCTGGCAGCATCCCTGGGTGTGGTCTGGGTGCGATCCAAGGTGCAGCTCCTGCTCCAGGCCTGAGCTACAAGGGAGTGGACGAAGGTGTGACCACACTAGGTCCCCTGGATTACAGGTATCTGGACATAGTGATGCCTTTGTGCTTTTCAGTCACCTCCTCCCAATGCATGCCAGGCATGGACTGGAATTGTGGGGGGGTTCCAGGGGGTAGTTCTGCCCAGTCATCCTCTTTCCCTGGAACTAGAAACAGATGCCATTTGCCACATGGCCAAGGTGCAGATGTTTTCTCACCCTTCCTCATGAGATGTGTCTGCCCCTTCATATCAACCCTCAGGGTATTTGTTTTCCTTTCTCCATGCTTTGTGAAGTGCTGTGTGTACTTAGCAATGCTCTATAAATTAAAAGGATTGACATGGATTTATTTCTAAGATCTTTATTAATTTATTTAAACTATGCCAAATCAAAGTGGCCTTAGGGTTCACAGCTGTTCCCTAGCAGCTAGGATGGGATTGCTCACCAATGTAAGCACATAACTGGAGTTCCTTTCCAAAGCCATTGTTTGTTTTGACTGTTCAGTGTCACTTGGCTGAAATAATTAATTTCCCCTGGCCCAGTTGCCCTTTACTTTTTGTGGTCATGGAGACAGAGAGGAGAATCTGGCTACCAACCCTTCCTTTGCTGTTGCAGAAGTTACAGGGTATACTTCTCTTCTTCCTGGGATTTAATCACTTCATGATTAACTTATGAGACAAATTCAGAAGGTATTGAGGAGTTATAAAAAGGAAAGAACCAGAAGGTTCACTTTGACAGCAGCCACCTTGCTGGCTTCTCTACCAGTCAGCTCCTCCCTCAGGGTCATATTGGGAGGCTACTGGAAAAAGCAAATTAGTTACTCTAATTCCAGCAGAGCATCCCTAGCACGCTCCATGCCAGATGTGTGGTTACCAGCTGGTGCCCAAATGCTGCTGCCAGCTCTGGGATGTAGAATACTGTAAATTTCTGTTGTGCTAGCAGAGCTCAGATCCAGCAGTAGGACTGTGGCACTTTAGAAATACCTGAGAGAGACAAATGGATGAATGATGTCTCTGAAATAAAATCTGTTGCTCTGGTGTTGTTATCCTGACCCACCTTCCCTTCCCTTCCCTTCCCTTCCCGCACCTTCCCTTCCCGCACCTTCCCTTCCCTTCCCTTCCCTTCCCGCACCTTCCCTTCCC